TGTAAACATGACATCTAAGGCACATCAAAATGTTAATCAGTATCATAATAAGGTATTTGGGTTACAAAATCCTAATGGCACTCTCAACCTTTTCTGAGATTCTTAAAAGGAAATCATATTGGTACAACTCTAAATTACAACCAAAACTAAAAATAGCACATTTAATTGAAACATCCCATGCTTCTCCATTTTATGGCCCTATTTGTGGTTGCTCAGAAAACAAGACAAATTCTACTAGTTCATAGTGCAGCAGCCACCACTGATCACGTTGGAGGGATTTAGGATGGGGAAAAAAAGCATGCTACCTGTGAGCATGCACCTGCTGAAACCATCACAACAGAACTGTTGCCAGCAAAACAGAACACACCAAAACTCCTCATTGTCCAGCACAAAGCAAAGCCAGCTGTCTCGGTTCAAGATACAGGCAAAGCTTATCTGACCTAACCAAGCTAGTTCTCGACAATATATCCCACACCTCCTCTTACCAACAGGCTGTGGGTGTTGTATTCTCTAGTTGATGGCAATATCTTCAATTGCCCCAGCAAATGGGAAGAGACACCTGGTGGTATGTTAAGACATGATAATTTAGAAGAAATGCATTGTTTCACTCTTGAAAAGATAACTGCAGTTGTTTCAGAGAATACTGAGAAAACAAAATATTGGAGAGCTGAATAACACAGATCTGTCTATTTTGCAAAGATAAGCAGTCTTGAAGAGATGAACACGTATTTTCTGTTATGGTGAGCATGAACAAGACTGAATGCAGTAGTTTCTTTTTACTCTGACATTCCTTACTTTTGAATTACTTGACCTTACAAACTAAATTATATTATACACATGCATTATGTCTCCAAATTTAAGTTCTTTTCATGAAGCTCTGAAAAGAAATCTGCTATTTCAAAGTAAATATAGGAGCAGGGAAACAAAATAAAACCTCACATGTGGAAGTTTTAGGCTTCTTTAATAATAAATTCTGGGAATACGGGATGCAAAAGGAAATGCTTACAGACCTAAACTATATCCATGGTACTGACAAAAAAACCCCATCAAGGATCTATTAGAAAACACTCAACTGCAATGTACGCATTGATACAGGACGAACACTGGAGTAGCTGATCATAACCACTATGGGAAAGAACTAGGCAGGACTCACAACATCACAACAGATTAATTGCTCCCCTTCCCTCTTCCTGCCCAAGAAATGTCCCTTCACAAGTGAGCTGCAATGACTCTCACATTCATTACAACCAAAAAAGGCTTTGCATATGCAAAGTTTTCAAAAAAGGAAAGCCAATGTGTACTTTAAATAAGAGCTTAATAAAGTCATTATGTTTATTGATTCTGGCTGATCAGAGAAGGGAAATAAAAATTATTATTACTTCACCACTAATCTATATACAGTGAAAGATGGACAACCAGCACCTTTCTTTTTCTATTGGACACAGAACTGCAACAGGTGAGGAGTGGACAGGGATCAAGTAATCTTCCTCTCTCCTCACACAGGAATTAGAAGGCACCCAAGACAACTGACAACTCATATATTCAAAACAAGTCACTAAGCAGTGAATTGCCTACTCTTCCCTCAAAGCCACCAAACACGTTCACCCAAGAGGAAGCCACTAAGGGTTGCCAAATGTACAGAAATGACACAGCCCTAAAGTATACACTGATAGCAACCGGAAGGGTGTACTGGGACAGAGACTTGTAAGCACCTAGTACTGCCTACAGTCTTTCACAGACGTCCACTGCTGAACACTGAGAGGCACAGGATACTGGGCTAAACTGAGCCTGCTTGATTTAGCCAGAAGAGCCTGTGTAATAACCAGCAGCTGTACCACCACAAAGCAAGTCCAAGAAGTTTGTTGACAGTAAGTTAAAACCATGTAAGCATGGAAGTTAAGTCTTCATCAGACAATTACTTAAAATCTTTGCTGTTACCTTTGCTGTCATAAGAGACTATTTCAGACTATCATAAAGTCCACAGAAGTGATTCTGGTAAACAGATTTTGTCTATCCTGTGAATACAAGAGGGACAAGAGGGTATGGGCTTAAGCTCTGCCAGGGAAGGTTGGATATTAGAAAGAAGTTCTTTACAGAGAGAGTGATCAGGCATTGGAATGGCCTGCCCAGAGAGGAGGTGGATTCACCGTCCCTGGAGGTTTTTAAGATGAGGCTGGATGTGGCACTGAGTGCCATGATCTAGTAATCACAGTGGGGCTGCATCAAGCGTTGGACTTGATGATCTCGGAGGTCTCTTCCAACCCACTTAATTCTATGATTCTATGATTCCATAGTACATAGAGCATTTCAGTATGGAGCCATTCATCAGTTTCCACAAATTCACTCAAGTACAATACTTTGTCATGGAAGGGCATTTTCAAGAGCAATTACATGTAATCTTCATCGTCTCCTTCCAGAATTACCTGATATACACAGTCCGCATATGAGAAGGCTGAAGCCGCTCTGCAGATAGGGTCTTTATGTCACTTTTATTTCAAACATAATGTACATAAAGTCAGTTAACAAGCATATGCTCTTCAGAAAAAGATCAAAAAGATGAAACACGTTCATTAAATAAAACCTGAATTTAAAAAGTGTTGACCAAAAGATACTGAACTTAGTTTACTTTAAAGAGACAGAGGAGTAGCATTCCTCTCCGTTTAATAACATTGCCTGGTACAAATCATCACACACCATTTGTTTTTTTTTTTTAATGATTCAGAGACAACAAATTCCATTGAATTAACAAAACTTTTGCAAAGTACCACATGTGTATGTAATGAAGGGAAATTAATTTGTCAGTCTAAGAGTCTAAAGATAAAAAGGATTTCTATTCCTAAACCCAAAAGCTACTTACTATGAAAGCTTTTCTAACAGTTAACACAAGTGAAAAATCATACACTTTCTGATAAATATTTACATCTCCAAACAAACACCGCTGTACTAGTAAATTACTCAGCTTGAACAAAGGAACTACAATGATTAGGTCTAAGCTGCAGTAAAGAGGAAAAAACTTAAACTTTGACAAGAATAATTTTAAAAATATGAAGTGATGTATCTTCTGAGATATTTATGAACCAGGAATATGAAAAAGAATGTATAATTGCCATCAAGAGTCAGAACCACACTGCCGTTAACAACAAAATGATGATGAGTGGGAAAAGGTAGATTTAAGTTTGGGACCAGAAAAGCAAGTGTTATCACCACATGAAAAAAGGACATAGCGCTTTTAGCTCTTGTAGTTATTAAAAACAGCATAGAATTGACCATCTCCTTAACTCTATGGCCTGAAGAGAATGCAACTTCTTTCCCTGACCTCTTAGTTCTGGGATCAAGAAAAGCTAGGAGTGAACTGAATGGAGAGCTCAACTTCTTTTAACCCACTTTTTAAACAGCAGCAATGATAGGGAGCTTAAGATAGGGAGATATTTAGGATTTAAAAAATTAATCTTCTTACCCATCAGCATACTTGGTCTCAAAAAGAAACTGTGCATCATCAGGTGCTCTTCCTACCTTTAACTTCCTAATGATGTCTAGGTTTTCCTCTGAGTTATCAGAGGTTGTCTCTTTCTCAGTGGAATAGACAAGCATGCAGCTGGGAAACACACTAAGTACTCTCAAACGTGTAGCACAAACTGAAGCACAGAGCAAGCACCCATTGCTGGAATTCTGTAGTATGGCCTTCTGTTCACATACATGTATTTTAGAGCTCCAGCAATATACGTTTCTGATATGTTCTATTTTCTTCTGCTTTCAACTGCATCTGGTAAAGAAAACCCAGGAGAGCAGGCCCCTAGCAACCGACCTGGAGGATGTTTACAAGCTGTATGCTCTTCTTTTAATGAAGAGCTAGACGAATCCTACAACCTTGCCCTTCAAAATCTTTCTAGGTTCCTTCCAGTAAGATGTAGAGAAGACTCAGGCAGCCAACAGTTTTCACACAGAGTTACGATTTCTGGATCTTTATTTGAACAATGTCTCATCAAATAAACGACATTCAACCTACTCTCTTCACTTTTTAGTACATCCTCTTCATAAGTAACAAATTGCTGTATAAATTTTAACACCTGAATAGTACAGTTTTAACACTGACAGACATAAATGTTTCTTCTCCGACTAACTACTGCGGTGTTTTCTTCAGTCAAGAGCAAGTTAAGATACTCTACTGAAACATGCTAAGTTTTGATACAGTTTTTGCTCAGAGGGAAATTGGGCAAGCGGCAGAAATGCTAAAAAGCAAAGCATAACAAAACCCAAGCAAAGCGAGTCCCATTCCCAAACGAGATCCTTCGTTCCCTACTCCCAGAGTAAGGTCTAGAGTTAGAGCAAGAGCTTCGTGAAGCAGTAACTTCTCCGATAAACAGGAAGAGCCAGCACTACTTCTGGCTTTTAAAACGCACTAAAAAAAAAGAAATGCTTTACGTGAAAAAGCAACTCCTTAATAACGTTTTTCCGCGACAAGAAGAGCTGCATTTTCCACCCAAGTGTTATGTAAATGAGCGGGCAGGAGGCAGCCGCGGGGTCTGTTAGGAGGCACTCAACCCTTTAGAGATAAAAAAAGGAAAACGGGGAAGATGTTTGAAACCCTCGGGGCTCACAGCACTGCGGCCGTGCGCTCCGCTCCCAGCCTTGCACAACTTTCCGCCCCGGCAGTTCCGCTCGACTCTCCGGGCGGGGACGGGACGGAGGGGTCCGAGCCCTCCCGTCGCCCGCCGCCTTTGTTCGCGGGGGCCGCCGCTCCCGGCGGGCACAAAGCGGGCGAAAGAACTTGCGGAGGAGACCTCGGCAGTCCCCGGGGGCCGCTGCGGAGTCCCACCCCCGCCTCCCCCTCGTCTCCTGGCCGGGCGGGAGCGGCGCGGGGACCGCTGGGCACCAGACCGTGCGCGGCCGGCAACGTGAGCCGCATGGGAAGCGGCGGCGCCGCGCCCCCCGCCCGCTCCGCCGGCGGCCCCCGGGGCACCCGACCCCTTCCCCCGGCGGCTCCTCCCGCTCGCACTCACTTTTCGGGACGGGCTCCGCTGGGCTCTCCCTCCGCTCGCGGCGCGCGCGCCTTCCCGCCGGCGAGGCGATGCCGGCGGCGAGGCGGAGCCCCCCTCCCCCGGCGGGAGGGGGTCCGATGCCCCCGGCCCCGGGGCTGCCGCCGGGGGCCGGGCGACTTCAAGGGGGCAGGCGGGTCCGGCCCCCGCCCCTCCCGCCCCGGGCGGGCGGGCGGGCTGCGGACGGGCGGCCCTGGGCGACCCCCGCGGCTTGCGGCTGTCCCGGCGGCTCAGGTGCGCCGCCGCGTCCTCTCACATGGAGCCACCGCCTCGCCGCCCCTCGGCGCCCCCCGGGCCGGTCCCCGCGCCGCCGCCGGCCGGGAGGCGAGTGGCTCGGGCCGCGGCCCCCGCCCCGCTCTCCCTCTCATGCACTGCGGGCGCCGCCGGGCCCGGCTCCAGCGGCGGGGGCCGTCAGGGCCCCAGCCGGGCGGCGCGGCGGGGCAGCCGGGCGGCGGGGCTCGGCGCCGCGGCCGCTCCGCTCTGCGGCATGTGGGGGGAGCGGCGGCGCGGGGCGCTGGGCGGCGGGGCAGGGCCGGGCCGGGGGCGCCGGGCAGGGGTTGGGGGAGCAGCGGCAGCAGCGCCCGGGATCCGCTCGCTTCCTGCGGCGCCGGGAGGGGGCGGGGAGGGCGGGCGGGAGAAGGAGCGAGCGCGGCGGCGGCGCGGGCGGATGACAGCGGTAACCCGGCAACCGGCCCCGCCCCGACCCGCTGCCGGCGCGGGCCGATGATGCTGCGGGGCGGGCGAGGCGGGGCCGCGCAGAGCTCGCCGTGGCCGCGCGGTTCACACCGGGACAAGGGGGCGGCCCCGCGCTCCCGCGGCCGGCGGCACCGCCCCTGCCCGCCACGGGAAAGGATGGTGCCGGAGCGCTCCCCGGGCTCGTCGTTGCGTGCCCGGCAGCCGCTCGTGTGGGAAGGGACTGGCGGCGGGAAGTGCTGGTCACTCTCGGTGCTTCCAGAGCCTTGGGCGCACCTGTGTCCTCAGCTGCGCTTCGTCTCTCGGACTCTCCCACAACGCAGCCGGACTCCTGCTCTCCTAAGGGTAAACCAAGTAGTAATTATAGGAGCCTCTGACAGTATCGCAGAATCAGTTAGGTTGCAAAAGACCTCTGAGATCGAGTCCAACCTATGACCACGTCAACTAGACCATGGCACTGAGCGCCACATCCAGTCGTTCCTTAAACGCGTGCGGGAACGGTGACTCCACTGCCTCTCTGGGTAGCCCAATCCTATGTCTAATCACCCTTTCTGTGAAGAAATTCCTCCTAATGTCCAACCTAAACCTCCCCTGGTGCATTTTTAGACTATGTTCCCTTGTCCTGTCATTAGTTGCCTGAGAGATGAGACCACTCCCCAGCTGGCTACAACCTCCTTTCACGTAGTTTTAGAGTGATAAGGTCACCCCTTAGCCTTCCCTTTTCCAGGCTAAACACCCTCAGCCTCTCCTCATAGGACATGCCCTACAGTTTATTGTGGAATTGTGGCTGTCACAGGAGAGTCCCACCAGGGCTCCTCTGGTACGCGATGCTCAAGATGCGGTGCTGTTCAACAAACAACAGGCAAAAATGGAATACTTAATTGCTGAACATTAAGTGTGTGGGATGGCTGCACACAACACCCATCCTGAGAAAAGCTTAGGCCCAAGGGAAAAAAAAAACAAAACCAAAACACCATTGCCATGACAAAATGCGTACATGAGAGCAAAATTAAGATTACTCATGTAACTTAGGTCTGATGTTTCCTTCCTTTTGAGTGCTATCCTTGCCGTGTTAGTATATCCCCCAGGCAGACAACTGCTCTGCCAAGAGCCTACGCCATCTCTGGGCCAGAGGCTGTCTGACTGCACTAAAAGCCTTCTGACTGTCCGCTAGATTTTTCCTGTATGCTATTCAGTTTTAATTCTGTCTCTTATTCTCCATTATCCTATGCCTGGTGTTTCTTTGTCCTTTCCTGTTACCTCATTTACCTGATTTTTCTCTTCCTATGTATTGAAAACAGATGTTTGAGCTCACCTGAATCTCCAAACCTCTCCCTTGTCCCCACTGGGATTGCATAGCAGAGGAGCTCTCTTGCTCTTCAGAGCTGTAGGCAGGTCCCTTCATCACCAGCTGAAGCTCCACACCTCCATTCCTGCCTGGCTTATGCTTTTTGTCACAAATTACCACGGGATGCTTCTGCAGACAGCAGCTTCCTTCACTAGCGAGCCCTTCTTCCCCACAGAACATCACGCACCTTTCCCACAGAATGACAATGGAGCCTTGTAATAAATATATGGGTAAATATGTAATCAGGTAATTAAACTTTTCATTCCTGGAGCAGGCAGGAGTCAAGTCTGCATGAATAATATTTTCATTTTGGCAAGGTATTTTTCCCACCCTAAGTTTAAAAAAACACGTGTGCAGTTTTTGCCCTCTACAAAGGAAATAGCAAAGCTAAAACTTCCATATCTACAGTATAGATAGTCCCTTGAGCTAAGAGAACAAAAGTCTCTCCCCTCAGACCCTAATCATGTCAAGGGGATACTAGTTCTTATTTCTTGGACCTATTGCTTACTCTTTAGTCTTTCCATTAATTGTGGTACTCTCTCTCTGCCAGTTGAATAATAGATTTAGAAATAGTTCAAACATATCTGGAACACTAATACTGAGTACATAGGAAAAAGTTGGCTGTCTCATCACCATAGATCACTGACAATGGCAGATGCATTGCTCAAGAAACAGAAAATCACTACTCTGCCAGCGCTGATGATAGTGCCGAGACTGGCTGTGGATTTAATGAAAATGTTACAATTTTTTTATTAGTCACAGATTAAAATGGTTCAGTGCCTAATCTTTAATGGGAATGTGGTCATGACTGACTGTACTTCAAACAGTAAGGATAAAAATAGGAATCGTACTGCAAATCAATGCATTGGCAGAACTAATCACACTGTCATATGCCAGACTTGAATGTCACCACAGAGACAGTTTCAATAAAACTTATTTTAAAAATAAAACACAGAACAGTTTTATTTAAACAGTATTGTTTTCAATATACAGTCCAATGAGAATGCAAAAAGCCTTGCCAGAGGTTATTACTGTGCATGAAATAGTGACAGAGCTAGAGAAACACTGGGCTTTTTGAGCACTCTGCCTAGAGGCTGACGGGATACCTGGTCTCTATCTGGATGTATTTTCTTCCCATGGCGTTTTTAATCTCGATGGATTACTATCTGTACCAGAAGTTGGTATTAAGCTTAACAGCAAGACTGCATTCTATCATTTTTCTTTATTACACTTTAAATGCACATATAAGGAAAACTGCACTGAAGTACGTAAACACCACCACCTTGGTAACTGAAAAGATTCCATGCTAAAAGGCATAGAAAAATTAGATGATGATTTGATAATGTGAGTTGGCCAGAAGAGAGAAGGCACATGCATTAGGAACAAACTTACAACAGAATTGTTATAATAGAGGAAAGCTGACCCTGTACTGGACTATGTCACCTTTAAAATGCCCAAATAATAAGGTGAAATAACCAAACTGAAGGAGCAAATTCAAATACTAAACCACCATTTTAAAAATCTGCTTAACTTGCCCATATTTCTGTTTTTATGAGACACCTATGCTAAATGTTATAAGCTTGAAGAGATGTTTGAAGGCAAAGGGAAGAATAAGGGATTTCTTTGTGTGAGAGAACATGGACCTAAACAACATAAATGCTGAAGGAGGCCTTCTGTACAAGGTTTAGTCCATTTTGACTAATGCAATTTAAATTTTAATCCTTACTATTTTAAGACTATTTGCCCCAAGTGTTTACAGGTAGATATATCCTAATGGCTGGCAGTGCTGTGCATCCCACTGCCTGAAGGAATGAGAATGGAAACTGAGAGCTGCCTTGGGCAGATTTTTCAGCTTCTCTAACCTGTCCATACCCAAGGCTCCATGTGTCAGGGTTTGAGATGAGAGAGGCAGAAGCCCATATATTGGGGTCACCAGTGGTGCACATATGTGGGGGTCCTGGACTGGGGAGGTTTCTGAGGCAGGGTTGCTGCCTGAGAAAGAGACCCTTTAGCACAGTGCTTATCCGTGTTTCATATTGCCCCTGCCAAAGAAAGGCCAGAGCTGTGGGGAAGCTGTGCTGTTGCACTGCAGGTATAGGAGAAGGCAGGCAATGGAGCAGGGGACACCAGATCAGTGGCTGTCTTAGTCACAGCATGTTCTCCTGGGCGAGAAAGATCTTAGCAGACAAAAGATAGCAAAATGGGCAAGATAAGCAAGCCACAAGGAAGTAGAGCCATGCTTTTTGTTGTTGGTGAAATACAGATTGGCTCATCTGTCTCAGACTTCACCCTAGAAGCTGCAATGCTTAGGTTGCACATGGACTGTCAAAACCTTATTTAATACTAAATCTACCAATTCAGACCACCTGCTGCCTCTTTCTGAATGCTATGAAATATTCTCTCTCTCTGCTTCATGTAAGGATATGACAGACTTAAAGTAAAGAGCTCCTTTTTTTTTGATAGGCAATCTTCCGAGCAAAGACATGGTTAGTTCTGTCTTTACTTCCCAAGAAATGAAACTGCTGTCCTAGCTGACCTTGGGAAGGTCATTTTAAATACCCTGAATGATGGAACTGAACCCTTCTCCCTCCCAGCAGCCAGACATTTGGTTCATTTCTCTTTTCTTGCTATTCTTTTCAAGAATGTTTTTAGAGTCAATGGTAAGGCATAATTCACATTTCTCCCATGGTATTACTGAGTACTGTAAAGCTGTGTGTAAGCACATTGCACCCAGCTTGGACAATGAAATCATGATCGTAGGTAGAACCTATTGCATTTAAAGAAAATAGGGAAGATACAAGAGAAGTGACAACAAGAAAATAAGAATGAAAATCTTTCATGTTCATTCCTGTAGGAAACAGGTCTCATGGACATACTAAGCTCAAGCAGAGTTATAGTTAAATACTCTGTTCCAATAAAAAACCACAGATTAAAAAAAAAAAAAAAGCTAGCCAAGATGTCATTTTCAAGAGCTGTAAAGGTCTAATACTTCCCAGTTGCAGATAAAAAGCCTGGGAAAGAGAGACCAAATTTCCAAGATAGATAAGGCAGATTTCCATGGACGTAGCCAAAGAACTGGA